TTGTGGCTGCTCCTGCCACTAGAAGGAATCACTAACCATCCTCAGTACAACGTTAAGTTTGAATATTTCTAAAATGCACAAGAACAGCATGCCACTCTCATCAGTCACAGGATTTCTCATGATCTTCTACACTACTTAAGTCTTTTCCTTGGACTGTATTATCATGTTGCACATACATTGTTATAGTTAAACATCCAGAACAAAAACGCAGTGTTGCTACTTTGGTACTTTCATATCTGTACTTATATACACGTATTGGTACTTGTGGTCCCATTCTCCAATTTTGTCACCTTCCAGCTTTGACAGAGAGGTCTATTTCGGTATGTACTTACCCTTGAATAAATCTCATTGGAGGATTTTAATTACAATTTGATTTTGTTCAAAATTACAAAAAGGCATCAAATCAAAACAATTTCTCCCCCAAATTCTCTATTCAGTGCAACTGAGTAATTCCAACAGGCTTGTAGCTTTCCCTAGGTGTTGACATTAAAAACTTATTATGTTTTGCAGCAATCACTACTATGTAACACTAAATTACGTAACTAAACACACAAGCAAGAACAGCTAGAAAAGCACTGCATTTCCTGGGCTACACCTATATTTTCCCTAACAGATGATAAAGTAATTCCCCAAACACTATTAACTAAAACCTCGTTTTGTACTCAGCGTTCAGTTTTCTGTTACCTTCATTTAACTGTGTTCTCAAAATCTGACTTTTGGTCAAACATCTATTACCGACTTTTGATGGGGCTGTTTCCCTTCAACAAATAGAAACAAGCAACAAAACCACAGCTTCAATCACTGTACAACAGTCACCTGAGACACCAGTATTTTAGTCTCATGCATCACAGATTCACGTTTATGATAAATAGTAGATAATACTTCATCTTCTTCATAGCACAAATGCTTGCTACTTGTGTGCTTCTTGGCTAACAATCAGGTTGAAAGAATCAACTTCAGTTTCCCATTAGCATGCATGTAATAGAACGTGTGCGTATGTGTGTTTTGCAAATACATTATGAAATCTGCTGGCGCTGAATTAACACCCCCCTACTGTAGAAAGTAGAAGTCAATGATATATGTCTGTATTAAAAATTAACCATAATTGTTCAAAATTGATAACAAACATATTATGTCAAAAAAAAGAAAAAGGAAGAATTCTGGCCCTATCACTAAAGATAAATTTTTCCATTTTGCCTTCTGCCTCTACTTTCAGCCTCCTTCAGCATTTTATCTAAATTCCCATTATTCCTCTCTCTTTAGTAGTGAAGATTAAATTAAGCCCTTCTCAAAGCACAAGGACGAGAACATCCAACTTTTATTTTTTCAATTTATATACAATCTATATGCTAGACAGCCCATCTCGAAGCTTCTGTCTATGCATTATGAGATCCGCTTTATAATACTACTGCTGTTTGAAATGGCTAAGGCACAGCTGTATTTTCAGCAGTGCAGAAGTGCAATCCTCTTAAATGAAGGTCAGCTGGCAAAGTCTCAATCCTACAGTCTGGGGCCACTCTATTCAAAGATGGAGACAGGATAAGAGCCATACAAAAAGTCGACAAACTTACAGGTCTCCCTATTATACTCTGACTTGCACCGTCTTCACTCATCCCTGCAGAAAAGCCTAACGAAATGAACAGACTCAAAGTGTATTTTAAAGCAAGTTTTAAAAGTTGTCAAATAGCTTTTTCTCTACACATATGCATACACATACAAACTTATCTAGTAGCTTCCAGTTGTCAACCAAGTAAGATGGCATACCATGCCAGGCAGGACAGACACAGGTAAGGCTCAGTGCAACTTTCATTTCTTCTGCTCACATTTGAGTGACTATCAGCTGTCCTTAATGATCCCACAAATTTCACAGTATATCTAAAGGAAATGTGTCTTGAGCATTAAGGACTCCTCAGCTCTCCTTCAGCCTTCGCAGCTGTCCTGTTACTTCAAATAGTTTTGTCTTTGATATGCCTCCTGTCAGTGACTAAAAGTAAACACTTCTTTTTTTTTCCCCCCTACTGCAATCTGTTGCAGTGTAAGATCCCTTCACTGGAAAATTCTTGAGCACTTAAGTGGTAGGAAATAAAAATGAGTAAGCCACAGAGAACAATGTTTTGGAAGAGAGCATGGTTTTCAATGCCAAGAATGACCTCGCTGAGGAGAAAAAAATACCACAAAAGAGTAACAAGATTCCTCTGTTATGACACCCTGGAACTTTCTGCATGTGCTTCAGAGAGCTTTACCAGTCAGAAACTGATGTAATTTCACAGGGCTCATCCTTGCTTGTATTATGCTGGTTCTTGCTCTGCTTTTGGGAGAAAAACCAAATCGAAACAGCAGCATCGCCTTTCGAGAAAGGACAGCATATATTAATACTACACTTAATTAAAAAGGCTGGTAATAAGTACAGATATCCCACACATTTATTCCTCCGTTCTTCTAAAAAGGCATTGTGAAAGGGTAAGGAAAGAGCTCTCTCTTCTTTAGTTCTTCTTTAGTTCCTCTTAGTTCCTACACTGTCATATTCTCCTGTAAATGAATACATGCTATTTCGAAGGAACAGGAAAATCCCTTTTCTTCTCAGCCATTTTTGTCACCGACTGGTGCGTAGTTTGAAGAGAAATATTTGAAAATTAGATAGAAATTATGACAAGGCACTATGAAAGCCACTCAATAAAAACCCAACCTACTCTTGCCATCAGTTCTCAATCTAACTGTGATCAGATATTCCGAGCGGCAGATTTTCCATTCTAGATGAGAGAGGTTTCTCTGATGTAGCGATTTCATTAGCTCAGGGCAGCTTCACAGAAACATAGCTAGCTCCCTTCCCATGCCAGCAGGGCTTCAGAAGCAGCACTGCCACACAGCATGGAGCTACTATTTATAAATCTTGCAAGCATCTCATATATGCCGCAGCATTGTTTCAAGAACAAGCAGGCAATTCTACACAGAGTCATGAGAGCTTATTAGCTCCAGCCACACGGGACCAAGCCGACTCCACCAGACCACTCAGAGCAGGCTGATGCATCTGCTCCCTAATGGTCCACATTCCACCAGGCTTATTAAATTGTAGGCATTATCATGTGAATACACAGATCCAATTTTAATCTGGCATTGCTCCCAACTAACCTGCTACTGAGAGGTACAGAGATTCAAAAAACCTGCTCCTTCCCCGCTGCATCCAGCATTTCCCACATTACTGGCATATCTCTTTTCCCCACTCCATTTCCCCTGCCCACCTCAGATAACCAAGTTAATTACACAGAACAAAACCACTTTTTGTCATGAGGCAAACCCAGCACTGAAGTACAGATATTAATGCGTATTTCCACACAGCGCTACATAGGGTCAATGAAAAAATAAAGAAATTTAAATAGCAAAAGGTATTTTTTTCCACAGTGAAGATAACATTTCAATGTGAGGTGACCTATATTCTCAAATCCAAGGATTCCCTCTACACTAACTGTTGTATTCAGGTCTTATTCCAAGCAAAATTCATTACAGCACAGTTTGTACTCCTTTGCTTGCTTACAAATTGAATAGAAGTAGAAATCCATTGTTTTCTGCTCTTTCTGCCTTTTTTTTTCTTCTTTTCTTACATTAGTATGCTTCTTACTGATAATAACAATCACAGAGGTTTTTGTATATGGCAAAACAACCAACTCCAAAGCAACCCAAGACGGGGACCCAAAGGTGGGAAAAAAGTTTGATTTAGTATCCTTAAAGCCAGCTACCTTCTTATCAAATTGTAGACCATAATACTTGCATACAAGTAAAGCTCAAATGAGCATTAACTAGAAAAAAAAAGGCATTTTCAGAAGTCTGAATGCTTAGTTAGGCAAATCTTTGAGAGAAAACCTGAAAGAATCTGCCGAGTGCAAACCATTGCCCAAGGTCATGAGACTGGGATATTTTTTTTGAGTACAACAATTTTTATGCGTTTTGGGTTTTTTCCTAAGAGGATGACAGATGCTCCCTATAAATTCACTTCACTAAGACGGATCAGTGATGGAAAGCTTTGCAAATGCTGATTAAGAGTTACTAAAACATCTCTCTTCTAGAAATGAAATCCTTTAGTCCTGAATTCATAAAACTTGATCTACTGCATTAAAAAAACACCTTTTTTTTTCTTTTTAATACAAAGCTGTCCACAGCATGGCTGATATCTAGTGTTATGCCTTGAGATGGACAAAATGCGTAAGAGCTCTCTTTCTTATTCTGTTAGATAACATTAATTGTAAAAAAAATAATGAATGAAATATGGTTTAGGATAGCAGAACTTAGTCGAATATTGTGAACTACTATTCTACGTCAATACAATCATAGAATAGAATGGAATCATAGAATGGCCTCGGTTGAAAAGGATCAAAATGATCATTTAGTTTCACCCCTCCCTGCTATGTGCAGGGTTACCAACCAGCAGACCAGGCTGCCCAGAGCCACATCCAGCCTGGCATTGAATGCCTCCAGGGATGGGGCATCCACAGCCTCCTTGGGCAACCTGTTCCAGTGCATCACTACCCTCTGGGTGAAAAATTTCCTCCTAATTTTTAACCTAAACCTCCCCTGTCTCAGTTTAAAACCATTCTCCCTTGTCTTATCACTATCCATCCTCATATACACACATATTCCCTCCTGTTTATATACTCCCTTCACATATGGAAGGCCACAATGAGGTTTCCGTGGAGCCTTCTCTAAGCAAAAAGAAGTCCAGTTCCCTCAACCTTTCCTCATAGGTGATGTGCTCCAGCCCTCTGATCATCTCAGTGCCCTCCTCTGGACCCACTCCAGGAGCTCCACATCCTTCCTGTGCTGGGGGCCCCAGGCCTGGACGCAGCACTGCAGATGAGGCCTCACAAGAGCTGAGTAGAGCTCTCCCTGCTGGCCACCCCTTTTTTAATGCAGCCCAGAACACAGCTGGCATTTCAGGCTGCAAGTGCACACTGCTGGCTCATGTCCAGCTTCTCGTCTACCAGGATCCCCAAGTCCTTCTCCACAGGGCTGCTCTCAAGGACATCTTCCCCCAGTTTGTATAAATACCTGGGGATTGCCCCAGCTGAACTACAGCACCTTGCACTTGGCCTTGTTAGATCTGGTATTGAAGCCCCTGCAATATCCAGGTAACACCAATTCTTTGCTAGTAATTTCTTTTAAAAATACCTTCAATCTGCCAAAATTCATCTAGAATCTTGCATAAATTACAAAAGGCATTATGGACATACTTATTCAGACCAAAAGCATGTTTTCCACAACACAGTTTAAATTTCTTTCCAAGTCACTAAAGATGCTATTGTTCATTTTGAAGTGAATTTCCAAAATGGAATGACAAAGTCTGTACGATAGACCAGAAAATGAGCATATAGGAAGTCATTTCATATAGCAGGACAATTTCTTTGTCCATCAGAAATATAGACAAATGAATACCCGCTTCCAAATAAAATTTTCCACAAGAATCAAAGTTACTTTGAAGCAACAGGGAATCGGTTCAATGAATTTAAGCACAATACATGATAAAACAACTTATTAATATACAATGGCTGGAAATCACTTCCAGTTGAGGGAATCAACACGGAACAACTATTGGGAAATAGCAGATGTTTATCTGTGTGGCCAAGCCGAAGTAACTCTACCAAACTAGCTAGTATGCAGGGCATTGGAAGCAATTTTAGCAGTATGTCCATGAGCACAGCAAGGAGCTGCTTTAAAAAAAAAAAAAAAGGACTCACTTTCCAAGCTAAGATCCAAGTTCTACACAGACTATTAACAAATACTACTTAAATTTACTACAGAGATCACTGGAGAAGGGAGTTTTCCATATATTTTGTTGCCTTTCTCAGTTTAAGCATTCTTGTTAGAAGAAAAGGCCTCAGGTATTTAAGACAGTTACTAAAGCTTTGTGGTTTCCACTGTAAATCCTCTATATCCCACAAAACTAGCTGTAAATGAGGATATTTATCGAATGGAGCTGCAGAAACTCATGCACAAAAGCTCTTGAGGAAATACGACACATGGAAAGAATCAATAAAGGTCTCACACCCAAAACAGATGAAATTTGGGCAGCTTGGGAACTTGCAGCTGCTCAGCCTCACTACTTAACACTAACTGAAGATCTACATCACGATTTTCCACTTTATTTACTCCAAAGAACTAGGAATTTTTGAGGTTGATGAAATGCCTCCATATTCACACAAACCATAGGCACAGTGGTAAAAAAAAAAAAAAAAACCAAAACAGCTGATGAGAAGATGAACATCAAGAGCTGCAAGTCTCTCAGTCTTCAAGGATCCATGTAGCAGATCCAACAACCCAAAGAAGCAGCCCCAAGTGAGCAGGAAAGGCCTGTGCCCTGGCAGTGAGCCTGGGGGGCCAAAGCTCTTCAATTCATTGGGACGCCTTAAAAACCAAAAGGCAGCCAAAAGGAAAAGGTCTTTCTGAGGCTTTTTTGGGAACAGATGGTACAGAAAGAAGGAGCTGAGCAGGTTGCAACAGGCAAGCTCTTCCCCAAAAATCTCAATTTCTGTAACAATTTCTGTTTTCATTAAAAAGTGTCAAGTTCATGCTGGGAGCGAAGGGAGAGTGGTCGGGACAACCTGATCTTATGGAGCAGACACCTGGAATGAAAAAGTCTCATAAGACAAGCAGAGTAAGTTTATTTTCCACAGTCTTTAAACTGCCTCTGAACGTTTGGTACTTGTGCTCATTGGCCTTCTCTCCCCTGCTGTGCTGAATCAGAGCTTCATAAAGTCCCTGCTCTTTTCAGAATGCAAAAGGAACACTTGTGACAGGCAGAAAATGCTACCACTGGCACTGGCATGTCACTTCAACAGGGGAGAACTGCGCAACCAAAGATGCTGTACAATCTAAATGAAATTATGTTGTCCATCCCCTGGAAAGAAAATCTTCATTTAGCACTTAAGATCAGCAATAATTGGATGTAAAGCCTGGGGGAAAGACATGAAAAAAATCCGAATATAGTAAAGAAAAAAATTTGAGAGACAAAACTGTATTATTGAGGGAAGACTTGTTTCAAAACAACAGTGAAATACGCAAAATCTGCATATAATGCAAAAACAGAACAGAGTAGTAGAATGAAAGCAACGACATTTTGGCTTTTCAATTGCATTTTGAAGCACTCCAGACCTGTGCTCTTCATAAGAAGCTGTAAGAAATCCTCAGACTTAATTCCTCTTGGGTAGCTAGAATGTCTGTTCAGTTACTAGAAAAAGACTCAATTGTGAAAAATCCCCTTGAAATGTTTCACTGGGCAGATGGTGGACTAAGCCCTCCTGCCTTCGAGAGATCATCCGGTCTTTTCTCCCTAACAATTTTGCAAAGTGCTTAAATCGCTTACTGACTGATTAGAACAATTATAAACTACTCATTAGAGAACACAAAAATAGGTACGCAGTTTCAGTTATTGGAAGCCCTTTCTGTTCTTCCATTGCCACTGAAGATGGATCTATACTGTTCTGCTTGTGCTTTAAATTTTAAACGTCTAAAGATTAGTGGAAACACCTGGGAGCCATTACAACATTGCAAAATCCTGACCATCTCCACAAAATGCAGCAAGTGTGAGATGTGTTACAGAACTTACAAAGTAATAGTGAAAATTTGTTAAGAAAAATAAAGGCAGGCAATACTGACACTTGTGGTCATTTTTAGATTGCTATTTTTCACTCAGTTACAAATGTGCTTCTGATAGTTAAGAAATACACTGTGATCACAGAATAGGCACTCAGATTAGAAATACTCTATAATCCTCTCTGCTCTAAATGATATATTGGAAAAGTATCCTTTTTGGATCATTGAGACCAACGGCCACTGGCTGTATGCATAATTCTTAACACAGTTTAAGATCAGCGTTTATGACGTTCTTATGAACACATTTCCAGAGGGAAAAAGAAAAGTTCTGAAGCAAAAATAACCACCCTTGAGAACACTGTCATTACTCATTTTGAATTGTCACTTGACAGGGTTTTAATGCTTTGAAACTTAAATACAACATTTTACTCTGATAAAACAGAATGATCTTTGCAGAGTATTTGTGGAGCATTCATAAAGCATGACCCATATAGAAAGATTCAATTTACATGTCAGCTGTGATGCACGTATTTAGTTTAACTTCCAGGGGACTTGTAGCCATCAGGCAGAAAATTATCTTTCTAAGCAGTACACCTGACTGTTGCAGCCACTGTAAACTCATTTGAGAAACTTCTGTTACTGCTGCCAAGAGAAAGCTTTCCTTAAATGGCTCCTTCCCAGGGTCTAGTTTGTCTTAAAACTAGTTTGACAAGATATGACTGCTCCCTAAAAGTTACACAAAGTAAGTTTTTCAAGATTTTTGGATAAAGTATTCTGAAGTCACACACCTTTGTTTTGCACAGATATTCCACACAATCAAAGTCTTGTGCACAAGTTACTTTACATACCTTAAATGGCTTCCTGCATCTGCTTTTAACGTGATACAACTTACTGCACGACCTTGCACTGGCCACATTAACTCTACAGCATTCCTTACATTCACACAGCACATCTGCACATCACTATAACTCCTCCCTAGCCTTAGTAGATCTAAGTATTTCAAACACCAACATTGCAGCTTCTAATTTAAGATGTAACCATGGCAACATCAGAGAACATACTACTCCTTGGATCAAGAACAAGCAGACCACTGACCCTTCACAGTGAGATTTGGCCAAAATAAAGCTCATTGCAATCTACTACCACAGCAAGACTACTTAAACCTTCAGGTCACACTTACAGAGCAAAGCAAGTTCCGCCCTCCCGAAACACCCAGGAACACACAGTACTGCACAGAAGTACTGAAAAAGAAAGTTCTATAAAAGGAAGTTTTTCTGAAATGTTAACTGTCTCAGCCTACCATCACATACACAGATAGAAATCAGCGGGAAGGGGGGCAGGCAGGGAAAAGGGCTTTTCTTTACACACCCACAAGATAAACTAAGACCTGCTCATCTTTAAATGTAAACAATGGGTGAACAGAAGAAATGGCTCACTAAGATTTAAAAATTCCAGATTCGACTTGTGTGTTGCTACGTCAAACTTGACATCTTGCAACACGAACAACAGCTCTGCCTGAACTTTACAGCCTATGCACAAGTGATACGGTCATTTAATTTAAAAGCCAGAACTAGTGTCATCGCCTTCTATCTAGAAAGCAAATGGCCTTTGAGGTTTTTATACCTCTAATATTAGCATTTATGGAAAGAGACAAACACCAGTAGGTAAATGTGCTACTTAGAATTCACAACCCTTTGGACGTGCACTTTAAGAATGATAGAAACATGAGTAAATTAAGCCAGCAGAAACTTTTGTCAGTGGAAACACTATGGATCTCAGTGAGCATTCTGTTGAGGTTTAGACTTGTTTCTCAAGTACATTCTTATATATGTCTGTTCCAATGATTGAAAAATCAGTCAAGATTTACATTACTGACATCAAAGTCTGTCAACAGAGGTTAAGTTAACCACATGAGTATCTCACTGCCCTACTGGTAGTCCAGGATACAGCAAGCTGACAGAGCTAACCTCTGTCATGTTTGTACACACACAGCAATGGACTATATACCCTATGTAATATACAGAAATGTAAACGTAAGAAATTGCAAATCCAGTAGATGGGACACACATACATCCTTTCAAAACACTGGTTCTGAATTACTCATTGAAGTCCCAGAACAGTAAGCAATGCTGGCTGGAAGCATCTCCTCTCCCACTCCATTCCCACAAGTTGCCTCCCAACCCATCCTCCAGCTTTTTTGAAATTAAAGATTTCTAGAATGGAGGAGTTTTATTTGTATTAAATATTTGGGGAATATGGCCATGTTCCTAAACCAGTCCCAGGTAAGATAATAGGATTTGCAGAAAATGTCATTAGAACAGGAAATGCATACATTAAATACAAGACTAAATTAACAGAGAAAGTAAGTATGCATAGGTGATTTAGGGGATTATAAGTCTGATGATGTTTCTAGTAAGTTACCAGAACATGCATCTAGACTAGTAAAACACAGCGAGTCTGGAGAATCATTATGCACTAGCAAAGGAAGCACCTCCCCAATCCAACCAGAGATACCATACGACAGACCCATTATATTTTCTTTATCCTTTGGCTAAACAAACAAAGAAAAAAAAAATCAGTCCAGAGCACTGAATTCATTCTCTTTTCAAAAAAGGATGGACAAACACTTAGGTAGGAATGCTGCTAGCTTGCCATCTTCAGCATCCCCTACCAAAAGATTTTTTTAAAGCATACAGCAAATATAATGAGGTGTTTCAGCACAGAAGGGCCAGTTACTGACAGGACAGAAACGACAGGAACTCACATTCTATTATGAGCAGAAAACCAAAAGAGATGCACTTTCTGATCCATCAATAATTGAAATAAAGCTTAACGGTTTATATATGAATGCCTTCCAACTCAACTGGCTAACCTAAGGTTACAAAAAGCAGCTTTGATAGGGTAAAAATATGAAACATGTAAAGTAAGTATGAACCAAGAAATATCTATGTTCCTCATAGAAGCACAAAAAAATTTTTACAGAGAGCACCAAATGGGTTAAATCAAGCTTTGGTGTTTAAATGCTTCTAATTCCTTTGCAAAGCAGAACAGCCCTTGGAATACTGAAATAGAACATCTCGCATTAAAAATCCCCCAGAGAATCATAAGTTACGGTGTCAAGGAAAAGTGAAAACAATTTGAGAAAACCCTCAATCATTCATTTAATCATCATACAATTTTTATACTATTCACCTATCATTGTGCTTGTGCTGAATATGTATCATTTATCAAATAGGAGGAAGAGCCTGTAAAGGTTTCTGGCTGCCTTTGGGTTTAGTCAAAATGAATGCAAACAATCACGTGGGATTCAGCCAAGCAGTGACGTTAAATTCTGCTCTGTCAGAAGACAGCATCTGTCAAAGCCCACATTTAAACTGCTGCCTGCCTGTGCAGCAGCCGAAGGACTACGGAATGGATTTAATAGACCAGAATCCTCGGTTAAAACAGCTCGAAACCATTTCTACTACTGCCTAGCAACAATGAAGGAGGGAAGAGAGACAAATCCTATTACTAAAGGCAACTGAACCACTACGTGCTAGCACTCACTGCTAACATTACCGTTAGAAATATGGATACTGGGAAGAGGAGAACACAGCACTGCATTGTCCGACAAGGGAAACACCAGATGTAAAAGCTCCAATCTATCGGCTGGGAACGCCAGACAGCCCCGACCGCCGGAGCACGAACGAGAACTACTGTCCTTTTGTTTGAAGGATGAACAAAAAGCCCCAAGACAAGGACAACACTTATGAGCAAGGAAGGTAACACAGCAACGAGCCGACAGATGGACAGATTGGATACTGTGAAAAGCAATCGCAGGAAGCAGACTGTTGGGGGATGTGCGCATGTTCGATAGCATCTTTTTTGCTGAAGTGATGGCGTGCCAAAACTATTTTCTGTGGGTATAATCCTCGCACCATAAATGGCCTGACCAGGGAAGGTATGTCAAATCCTTGTGTGTGATATTCATTCAATTGTGTGTTACCTTTCAGCCATTAGAGATAATGATCATTCCTAATTTGCAGAGCCCAGAGATAAGGTGTCTGCGAGCAGTGGAAAAAATTCCAGCAGGTTTTTCCTTTCACCGTGCAGAACAATGTCACTACCTTACACATTTAATGCACTGCTTACAGCCTGCTGTGGGTACAGGAGGGATTAAAGGGATAACGTGGCTACTGTAATGATTGCATTTAACTGAGAAATTAAAAACTTAAACCCCTCCAATTTAGGAAAAAAACAGTTAGAAATCCTCTCAAAGTAGGTCAAAATTAATCCTTATCAGAAGTAATCTTAAAGCACTGATAAAATGGCCATGATACGACACACACAGAGAGCACTGAACCATCAAAACAGACCGTGCAGTCAAATTACATTATCTAAGGAGTACCTTCAGACCTTTCTCACACTTGCTTCCCCCCCCCGCACCCCTCCCCCAAACCACAGCAAAATGTCATCAGGCTAATACTGACCGAGCATAATTTGGGAGCGTGCAAAAGATTGGACATGATCTAAGCCATCAGCAGCGCAATCAGGCACCACATTTTACAAGTAACATCAGGCTCCGCTGACATCCCAAAAGGAAACCTTCACACAGTGTGCACTCAAAATGGTGAGCACGTAAATTACCTCATGCCATCATTACGATCTCTGTTTAATATGAAAACACTGACAGTTTAACTTGGATTGCAAAATGGCACTCAGTCTAATTGTCATTCATTCCTACATTTTGTTTTAATTTAAATCATCAATTGTGGCAAACAAGCAGGAAGACAGCTCGCTATTTACAGTGCAAATTTAAGATCTAAACGTATAGCTATTTAATACACTACGGGATGAAAATGCTTCTCTACAGAACCTACCAATAAGCTGTAATAAATCATTAATCTGTCAACATAGCTGTGTTTACTTTGTGCAAGGCACTCACCCGGCTTACATCACTTTTAAAGCCTTTCCAGGAGTTTTAAAACAAAAAAGACCCTGCCTTCCGGCAGCACTCCCAGAGCAGCATGCCTACCAGCAGTGCCACTTTCCTATCTGACATTTCAAAACCCAAACATCAGAGCTTATCTTGATTATTGCCTGTTTTGAGCACAAGCTGAGTGCAGTTGGAGTGAACCAGGACACGACTCTGTGAGGCCTAAAGCACAGCTGCTGCTCTTCATCAGAACACCGGCTCAGGCTCCTTTGAACTCTTCCCTCTAATTAAAGGGTTTGCCCACAAATCAAAATATGAAAATGCAGAACGTGTAAACAGGGAGTCAAATGCTTCAGACTGCAAAGTTGTAATTATAGAGCAGAAGCGAAAGTACAACACTAGTAGAGCACAGACCACAAATAAAAACTCAAGAGGCATTCACAGTGAATATATTTGGCATTCGATCATACATCAGAGACTGCACAGCCAAGTGCCAAAATTCAAGAGCCATCCTAAGTCCTATCTTCAAAATGCACAGCTGTATGCAACAACATGCTTTCAGAGCACAAGGTGACTGCACGGAGACCTTGGGCTATAGTTAGTAATTTGCTTTCTGTTTTGTTGCAATTGCTGTGTTTCAAAAGCTTATTATCCACTGCATATTTTGAGATGTTTTACACCTGAATTACACAGGAACTGATATACAGCATTATTTGGGTTTTTTTCTAGCTATAAGTTTTATAAAGCTAGGAAACTAGATGGGGGTCCTCCCTTTATCCATACAGGGCCCTTTGAAAGGGCAAACAGGGATCTAAGACCCTCCAGGAAACTCCCACCTTGAAAAAAAATCAAGCAAATATGCAAATGAGAGAGGACTCTCTTTAGAAATAACTCTTTATGATGAGAGATGAGACTAAGAAATTTAATATCTAGTACATGAACGTGCAGTCTAATAAAACCACAGAACACTTCAGCCATTACAACCCCATTCTGGGGCAATTTCTCTGTGCAATGTAGAAAGGCAGCACCTGCAAGCAGTTTTCAGTTTACACAAATGTTCCTATAACAAGATTCTCCCTTTTCCTGTGTGAAATTGGGGGCACAAGAAAACACTACTTCAAATAAAAATTAAAAACAGCTGAGTAGTACAGTGCAGATTTGTCAAAGTATTTGTACCTAATGACTGAAGTTTTCTAAGTGGCATAATTCAGCGTGGCGAAGTTAATTCTGAATTACAGCTGCTGCTCTGCATTCATCTCCTCATGAAATTCTTGTTTTCACTTCTTCCTGAGCCGCACACACATGAAACGCAATGGCAATTAATCAAATATTCCCACTGCTGCCTCCCAAACCCGTATCGAACAATTAGTTTCCCTGAGATCTAGGATATCCTTTGAAGTGACATTTATGTTTGCTCATGCGGCGATATTCATCCCAAATAGCTGAGCGCTCATTTAAAACACTGCACACTGCAGAGAAAGTATGAATTATGTTTGGAGAGCAGGCTTTTATTTCCTAAGAGTGTAAAAGAAGGTGCAAGCGGTGGGATAAACACATATCTTCCCCATCGGGGGCTTATTTCCTTTTTATTTAAGGTGTAATTTCTGAGCCAAGAAACAGAGCAGCGTGGAATTAGAGATTAATTCTCAAGCAGCATACTTCAAGTACAGGCTTAACATTTGAAGGCTGGAAGATAATTTTTAAGAAAGGTAGCTAGGAAAAAATAAAATCCCAAATATTTGCAGAACACGATTCACAAACACTGCGTAACAGCACGACAGGGAAGAGTTCAATGTATCAGTAGGCAAATATTTCGCCCTTTCACTCAGAAGTAAGGAGCACTGTTGCCGTTTCAGATAACGTTTATGGTTACAAACCCGTTAAAATCCCCACTTACTTGCTCCTCCTGGTGGAGGTTAATAAGATAGACAAACTACAGTTTCAACTCAGTAACTGCAGCAGTAGTTCCTCCTTGCTTCTAAATATTGAGTGATGTCTTCTGCATATAGGTTATTGTTTACATATAAACTCACACAGTAACCAAAATGAAGTTTAGTTACACATCTGTCCTCATCCTTTCTGAAATCTCATTTTTCCTTTGCATTAACTCAGCAAACTGAATGTTAGTCACACACAGTAATATATTATTCAACAGTCATCTCTTCATAAATTACTTCTTTACTGTGCAAAATCGTGTAATTTCCCCATATAACATGTTACTTAGTTTTTAAACACAGAAATTAATCCAAATATTGGTTTTAAAAGATAGCCAAGTAATTAAGAAATTACACATTTATATTAAAAATAGCATTTTCTGTGGAAGCCTTGTTCAGCTGTCATCCTTTTTTCCCTATACAAAACCCTAGGGCCCAGAAATAAATTAGAGCAAATTGAAAATCACAAACGAATTGCTACTGTGCAGTGAAAGGCTCATTTACGAGATGATGTGATCAGCTTTTAATATGCAGCATCATGAAGCTGCCATATTGACTCTGCTCTTGAATATGAAAAAAAATTTAGGAGAAAATGAACCACAGACTACTTTGGCACTCTTTCCTACAGTTACAGCTGCTATTACCACTACTTCACCTTTCTGCATGATAACAGAAGAACAGTAGTTACATTTAAATTCTCAGAGGAAACAAAAACCAAAAATCACATTCATCAGACAGCTTGCCAGAAAGTAACTTACTGCTGCGCAGCTTTACTTCATGTTGATGTCACTATTTACCTAAGATCTCTATCCACTACAACTCAACAGCTTAACAGTAAATCAACTGCATGCCAGCCTGGTATGAAAGCCAAATATTCAATACTCTTTCATTGCGGAGCAGAGGGTTAAAGGTGTCTGAAAGGTGACCAAAATTGTTATCGTGTGTTACCATCTAAGCAGTGCAGAGAGGTTACTGGACCCTGAAAATTAATTTTGACAGGTGCACCTTCTCTCATTGACTTTCTGAACACAGTCAGGGCCGGCGGAGACACGTCAGGCAGTGTACTGTGACTAACAGAACTCTGCCATCATCAACCTTGCACTGTCTGTCCCACTACCACCACACAACCATTTTACTGTAGGAGTTTTAAACTGAGCCATACTAGCTTCTGCACATCACATCCATTTTAATTAATGCCAATAAACTTTCCAGCTGCTCCTGAGTTTTTTTTTTTCGTTCAGCCCTCCTCAAGCACCGCACAAGGATTTCCCCTGTTTATTTCATCTTTGGTACCCAGGATGCTTTCCAGAACTTCTACCATAAAAGTATGCATTTTTAAAGCCTAACAAAGCAAGTAATTTCAATTGTAAAACAAGCTTGGCTTTTGGAAACAAACAACAAAAAAAAAACCCAGACCTTATTTATGAGCTGTCTTCTCAAAAAACAAAGCTCAATTTGATCTATTTTATCTATTCTCTCATTGTAGCCTCATTATGTGCAGGTAAAATAAAAAATGTGTTTGGTTTTGTCTTTAAATCCTTCCAGAGAGCCATTTGCAGAGAATTACTCGATGTGAACAAAAGGAAATGAATACCAAAGAATAGCAGTGGATTTGGAAAGGAAGCAAACAGCATTTTGCTTGGCCATTGTCTCACACCCCATCATTGGATTCCTACAACATGCTTCAGTGGAGAAGACGACACTGCTGCCTTGCAAAGATGACCTGGAATACCAAAAGGTCTCTATTTCGCACCCATCTTATTGGCCTGATCTCTCTCGTATTTCTTTTTGCTGTGTTTCTGTTTTTTAACCATCACGACTGGCTGCCAGGCAGGGCGGGCTTTAGAGAAAATCCCATGACTTACACAATCCGAGGATTTAGATCTACAAAAAGCGAGATGAACCACAGCTCTCTAAGGAATATGTGGAAAGACACCGTACCTCAGACCCTCAGGCCTCAAACAGTCACCAACCCCAACAACACTGACCTGTCGCCGCAAGGAGTAACTGGCTTGGAAAACACCCTCAGCGCTAATGGAAGTATTTACAACGAGAAAGGTACTGGGCATCCAACCTCATATCATTTCAAATACATCATCAACGAGCCTGAAAAATGCCAGGAGAAGGTCCCTTTCCTGATTTTGCTCATAGCTGCAGAGCCAGGCCAAGTGGAAGCCAGACAGGCCATTCGACAAACCTGGGGTAATGAAAGCCTAACGCCTGGCATTCAAATTGTTCGCATCTTCTTGCTGGGGCTAAGTACCAAGACAAACGGGTACCTCCAGCGTACCATCCAGGAGGAAAGCAGACAGTACCATGACATCATCCAACAAGAATACTTGGATACCTATTATAATTTAACCATTAAAACTCTGATGGGAATGAACTGGGTTGCATCGCATTGTCCAAGCGTTCCCTACGTCATGAAAACTGACAGCGATATGTTTGTCAATACAGAGTATTTAATACACAAGCTTCTTAAGCCAGAGCTTCCTCCGAGGCACAAATATTTTACAGGATATTTAATGAGAGGTTACGCACCTAACAGGAACAAGGATAGCAAGTGGTATATGCCACCTGATTTGTACCCAAGCGAACGTTACCCTGTATTCTGCTCTGGAACCGGTTATGTTTTTTCTGGAGATTTAGCAGAAAAAATCTTTAAGGTCTCCTTAGGCATCAGACGTTTACATTTAGAGGATGTATATGTGGGGATCTGCCTCGCTAAGCTGCGAATTGACCCCATGCCTCCACCCAACGAATTTGTCTTCAATCACTGGCGAGTTTCTTACTCCAGCTGTAAATATAGCCACCTAATTACCTCCCATCAGTTCCAACCTAGTGAACTGATCAAATACTGGAACCACTTACAACAGAATAAGCACAATGCCTGTGCCAATGCAGCAAAAGAGAAAGCAAGCAGGTATCGCCACCGTAAACTGCACTAGAAGGACAACATTCCCTCTGTCAAATGTATTCCATGTGCAATTTGTAAATATTGCTGAACGCATGTACAGTGAAAATGGATGAGCTTCATGGGACAGCCTTTAGTTGATGCCCATCACATAGTGGAGTCTGAAAATTATTTTTTTAATTTGAAAAAAGTATAGTTCTTGATAACAGTAATGTTATAAAACCATAACCAAAAGGTTTTCCCAGCAAATTTGAGGAAAAAAATGGAGATAATGATTTTTTGTGTTAATGTGCAATAATAAGCATGCACACTCCAGTGGTACAATTGCTGACTTATGTGCCAATAAAATCTAATTGAGCATATTTTCCACACAAATTTTATTTTTAAGACAATGCATTCATAGCTCTTGCTCTTTTAAATGTAATGATTTCTTGTCTAGCATTGCTCTAAGTAAAACAAAAAAACAAGAAACAAAGGAAATGCACAAAGGGGAGATGAATCTTACCTTCAAATACCACACGAAAATTACCACTCACTTCTTAGAAATGCAGTACACTTAGCAGCATCACGTTTAAAACAAAGACACCGTTAAACAAACTCTAAAACATTGCAAAAGTAATTCCTTTAAGTCAGTCTACTTTTAGCAAGGTTGCTTTTTTGGCTAGGGAAAAAGGATAAATGAAAACAAAGCTCAGAAAACCACTACTTTGCACATCTCCTGAAACTCACAGCAGGTGTTCTCGATTCAGGTCTAGTTTCTCCTCCAAGTTATTCTATACAAGTTACAGGGTGAGCCACAGAATCCAGGTGCCAAACAGCACTGGCACCTACGTGCAGATTCATTCAATCTGTGTTTATTTCCTTACATAACATCAAGATAGTTCCAAAGGCTAAAAAGAAACGCAAAAGCCTTTCACCATAGTCTCAAAAATGTCCTATTTTGTACAAAGAGGGAGAAAACCAACTCAATCTTGATTTGTTTTACTATTTACTGCCTATCAGAAAAAGGATCAGTTAAGCTAAAATAGGACTGCAAGAGGAAATTAAGCCGAACTTTACCTTGCAGACAGAAAGGACTAAATCATAAGACTAATATTTCCAGATAGAATTATGGGCAAAAGAAAATGGATGAAGAATTAAATATTAAAACCACAACATCTGTCACTGAAAACAAGATGGGAGAAGTAGGTTAAATCTACTTGCAGGTTTTCAAATTTTTTAACAAGCAGAACTTTTAAAGTGAAGCAGTGTTGCATCAGAATCAGGTTATTGCTACTTGTCACTGTAAGCAACACTCACCTGTGCATTAGCAGCAGAGGATGGAACTGTGATTAGTTTTATTTGACCAATACTTTTTAATCGGATAAAGCTCAATTATTTGATGTACTTTTATTATTTAATAAAACTGATTATATTTATGGCCCTTCAGACTTCACTTATTAATGGTAAAGCTACTCAGGAGGAAATAATTTGCTAGCATTACCTGTCTTTTCCTCATTTCCCCTAATTCTTAGTTTTCATTCCATGTAAAATATAGAGATTCCAAAAGGTGTTTGTTTTCCTTTGTAATGAAAAGAAGAATGGTATAACCGAGCACTCAGCAACACTATGAGTGTCTATTTCCAGGACCTCACACATTTAAGCAGACTGTGTCACACTGAACTAGCAGTCCTACAGAATGCCAGGAAATCCTATTGAAGGTGGCTATTGGAATTTGCTCCTTTTTTTTTTTTTTTTTTTTAAGGTCCTCCAATAAACCATCACTCTCTGTATTTAAGGTATGATAATCATATGTTTGTGCATTTCCTACATACCTCAAATGATAGAGAAGGGCATTTCTGGGGAAAGCGAGAGTGTTTAACAGCACGTTTCTGCACAAAGGTCTTCTCAAACTAACTAGACTGAAAGTGCATTGACTTAGTTTCGTTGAAGGTTACTGGCATTCATGTGACACGGCTGCAACAGAAAATTGCAGAAAATACATCTTTGGGAGTATTCTTCGAACACTCGTTTGTAGTTCTCACACCCTGAGCTAACACAAGCCACAGCTAATACCCCAGCTGAAAGCTGCCTGGCTTATGTTAACTATACCCGTATTAACTATTACTATGCTTAAAACAATCACAAGCAATTGTTAGACAACTAGAGAAAGCCACGAACTATCCACGAGCATTTGGCTGTAGAAGACGTACAGTCACACAAGCAGCCTCTCCTTGAGTCACGCTGGCCAAGGACACAGTCCTCCCTCCTGGAGGGGCTTCAACACCATTCCCTGCCTTCAGCACTTTCAAGCTAGAATGTAATATAATGTACTCTACTTGGACTTCCCCGACTCTGGCTAGTTCAAAATGCTGCTACTGGCTTCTGGGTACAGTCCAAGAGGTTAATAACTAAACCTTAAATAGTTTGGCACTTTAATTATGAAGTTTGGCAGCCAAACAACCTCTCGGGTACTCCAGTTTGGAGCTCATACACGATACCAATCTGCCCGAGTTTGGCAGAATTATGTTACAATACCTATGAGTTCAACACACTGAACTTCTTTCTAGTTAAAATATAAGATGATGCAAGAAAAAAAAAAAGCCATTTGTAACGTTCTTTTAAGAGCCTGACAATTTTTAGAAATTTGAATTAGTACTTGAGTATAATTTGAAAATGATCTATAAACATTACATACTCAAACCATCATCTAAACAGTCAACAGCTACTTAAATCTTTTGTGTCCAAGTATTGTTTTCTTGCAGTCTGTTATGAAGCTTTCAGAAATGGGAGGGAGAGCTTGTATGGTGAAATATGCAATTACAGAATGAAAGATCTCTTTGCATTCTTTGTGTTATTACCACTATGTAGTAGCTTGAGTTGAAGCTATCTGCCCAATGTAGAAGAGCACAAAAACAGCTGATGTTAAAAACAGTGCAATTATTAATGTCATTAAAACCTTTGACAAGTTTTCACACATCCTATCCAACATAAAGCAGGACTAAAAATGCATTGTTAGTAGCAATAGGATACAAGTTTCTGAGTTTAATGTATCTGCAATGCAGTAAAAAAAAAAAAAAAATGGATAACACCAGTCTGCTTACCAAGATGTGTAATTTTTCTCTTTAAATGTCTCTGTATGTTTGTTTCAGTTTGAGAAGAAATACAAAAACATCTGACATGACTCTAAATTTATTAAAGAAAACGGTCATCATCAGCACCGTCACCACGGCAAAGAAATACTTTGGTAAAAAGAAGCAAGAGATGAATTTAGTAATTTTTCTTCATTTAACTTTCAATTGAGAATTTAAGCATTCATATTAGACAACCAAAATAAAGTTCCACAAATATCTTCCACCAACAACAGGTTTGTTGGTCTCCAATTGTATTAGTAACCAGAATTATTTGCAGATCATTCCATATCGCATTTGAGCATGGAAATTGCACAAGTACAGCTGCTGGAGTAAGAAAGATTATCCTATCCCCAACCACTGATCCATTTCTCACAAAGTTCATGATCTATTCTACGTAGAAAAAAACTACACATAAAGGTACTTCCAAACCTCAGTGGTTCCTTTGAGGAAATAAAATAAGATTAGCGTCCATTAAGATACTTATGTAAACATTATGAATTATTTCTCTGCTCTAGAATTTAAAATTATATCATGGCAGTGATCTAGGAAAATAACAAAGACTGGTTGTCAGGTCAAGCAGACTAAAACAATGATTTAAAAATTTGCTCTCTCTGCAATGCAGTCAATGTCTTGTAGGCCATCTTTACAAGTTTCATAACATATTATCATGTATTAATGATTCAAAATCAGTACGAGATCAGGCATGATCTGAGCATGGGGAAAGAATCTAGAAGCCATTGCTGTAGACAGCCCCAACACCATCCCTGTTCATCTCCCAACACACTAACAAAATACCCCAACACACTTAGATCTCAAATACCTACCAAAAACAACACAACAATAAAACACCTACAACCTTATCCGTAGAATGAATGCCCACTGTCATTTGTGAACGCTTTTCAGGAGGAGATGAAAGAGAGACGACATTAACCTAAAAGTTGCCACTTTTTAGATTCAAGCTATTGGCAAGGTTTGTAACTGCTTTGCTAAACCATCGACAGTTGTATCATTTTTTCATTTTGAGAACGCATTTTTCGATCCTCACTTTATGCTGTCAGATAACACAAGTAACCATTGGACAATTTATTTACACTATGATAACTGCAGCTATGGAATTTTAAAAGCATTATCTTCATTTTTCATTTCTGATTTTTTACTTAGAAAGCAATGTGGGATTTCGGGTAGAGCAGAGTTTTACCCTTCTGACCCCAATAATTTCAGACTGGGGATCATCCCTATCATACATTGCATTTGCTTTATTACTACAGATGGAAACTCTAGCCTATGTCCAGCTCTGCTTTGCAGGCCACTCAGAAGGGGAGCACAGGGAGAGGAGGGAAGCAGGGAGCTGCACCGCCAGCCAGGCAGTGCTGTACTTGTAAATGTAGGTCAGGAAGCAGAGAACGAGCTCTTTGCTTCGTACCCAAGGCAAGAATGAATTTAAACGCTTTCTATGGCAGGAGGATGGGGGAGGGCTGCGGAGAGCATTCTTGCAGTAGGTCAGTTAAAAAAGCTCTTGAATGTGGAAAAAAAACCAGAAGAATGAAATGAAAACCACAGCAGCTGATCAACACCACACAGGTTAAGAAGTATACATGTCCCATATAAATAGGGCAGCCTTAGTCATAAAGAAAAGCTCTGTAAGCGAGGCCAAATTAGAAAGCATCGTCTGAACTTCCAGTGATGAGTGTTTGCATTTCTTTCCTCCTAGAGGAAATACAAATCTAAAGTAAACTCATTCCTGTGACTAAACTTCTAGCTTGTGCTTGCAGTACAAGCTTTATTGCTACAGCCTGCTCCAAAGCAATTACAAGAAATGGCATGATGGCATGAAGAGCCGGTCAGGAGCTGCAGAGGGGCTGTTTTACATACAGGAGTGCCAACAGAATCAAGTCATAGGCAGACAACTTGATCAGTTTTCCCTAGGACTTGCATTTCATCCCCAAAGAAGGCGTTTGCTACACTTCTCATTTGTCCCTAGTTAACTTGAAAGAAAGCCAGGCCAGGTACAATGTAGTACCTTCACCTCCTAGTGAAACGACTACATAAGAATTCAGCTGAACATGGGATAGAGATGAAAACTACCATGTTGCCATTCTCATATTGCCATGGCAACAGTTAAAAGAGCTCTCTTCAGCAGTTAAATCTGACAGCTTTCACGATAACACTAAGTGGATGATAGTAATGATGCGTTGCGCTCCACGAGCCAACCAGTGCAGGAGTCAAACCACAGGGTACGAGCCATGCCCCACACTGTTTTCCCAGCACTGCCTGTGGTCAAAGAGTTCTGACCGAGATAGTAACCTCCAGTTACTCCTCTCAAAACAAGTTCCTGCAGCACAGGGAACGCTCGTGGCTTACAGCTTTATGTAGTCTCCAAGGTTTCCATTTGAATGCTTAAGTCGTGCACAGATGCTGTACCGGGTGGAGAAGTCAAGACTGCTTAAATGCTTGATGGGAATGTTCTCAAAGGGCTCCATTCACCTGGGAATGCGTGAGAAAAGAATATGCTTTCTATAGAGCGAACAAAATTGCTGCTGCTGTGTTTTCAGCATCATTTGTCTGAGCAAGGAGGAGGTAAGCAGTGGCTGGTGTCTTGCTATAATGCCGACCAACATGTAACCAATGTAGGCATCTTCAAGTAAAAAAAAAAAAAAGCACGCTGCCTCACTGGAGGCCCAAGTATGCTGATGGATATGGAAATATATCTCTGAAGACAAGCTTATCAGGACAATCTCATCCACCTCCTTCTAGCCTATTTAAGCTTTATCTAATATTAACTGACATGTTAGCTGTTTAACATCAATATTCCGTGAACCACTCTCACTGTGATCTCCCAGATACTTAGCTTGGGCATGATGGAAAAGCCTCTACATATTTATCTCATTAGAAAGAGAAGTGTGTGAAGCATTACTCACCCTAATGTTCTGAGGATAACAGGTTTGATTTTGTCTTGCAACTGATTCAATAAAAAGAAGATGAGAAAACTGAGAACAGTGTGAAACCCTTAAAAGTTCAAGATTTCCTAAGATGACAAACAGATCAGAGTTAATAGTTATGATTGCCAGCATGTAAGAAGTCTTCAAAAAGTTAAATATTCCCAGTTCCTCCTGTTGACATATTAACAAACTTTTGTATTACATTAAAAATTTTTTTAGAAGTCTGTGCCATCACAAAAGCACTGAATTCCTCCACTCTTGAGAAGTCAACAACATCTTTGTTGGGGAAAGGCCAAGTGTTCCCACGCTATAATAAGCCCAAGGTTCAAAACAAGAAAAACTGACTGCTGCTGGAAATGCTTTTGTAATAAAATACCAAACAAGTCACCAAGGAAAACAAAACCCTAACTCACTGCCTTTATTAAAAATTTAACATATCCAGCATTTAAATGACATCAGGTCTAAGGAAACGTTAAGAGAGAGTCTAAGTTTCTTTCATTCACCGCCGCTGTCATCATCTCTAAGCCAAGTATGAATTTGGCACATAAAGAAAAGCTACGTCACAGTTAAAGCCTGTTGTGCCATAATATATAGGTTGATGTGACATAAAACAAAATGAATCACTGGAAAATGCCATCTGTGACTCAGTCTAAAATTTTTCATGTAAAAAAATTTAGTACTGCCACTTACTGCAAATTCCAGCCTTTTTATAGGCATCCCTCCCAAGTCCACCTAGGCACTGATTTTTGTAGACATAGAAATTCAACTGTCTATGAGAACAACCAATTTCCCATTATATGATCTTTGAATATTTTAAAGCTTTGCATTTTATTCTTTTATAACTTGGGAAACAATAACATTATGTCACAACAGTTTAAAGAAACGAGACTGTAATTTAGGTATGTTCTTCACATTACTTAAGATTCTAAAATAAGACTAAATATCATATACACACCTGAGGGCACTACACATCTGTTCCTCAAAAAGCCAATTGCAAAGCTTATGCTGTTAGCACCATGAAGCACAACGAAAGGGGAATAAAATAAAAATAATTTAATTACATGGTTCTTAAGTATAAATGCTCCTTCAGCTCAGGAGGTATTCACAGTAATGCCCCTCCTGATCAGGAGAAAATTATCTTTCAAATAGGAACTGATTTGCAAAAGCAGATGCCCCATCCCTGCAGCCATTCAAGGCCTGGCTGGATGTGGCTCTGGGCAGCCTGGACTGGTGGTTGGCGACCCTACACATAGCAGGGGGTTGGAACTATATGACCATTGTGGTCCTTTTTAACCCAGGTTTTCCTATGATTCTATGATTAATCCTATGTTTCACTAAATTCAATATGGTTAATTCACAAAGCAGCACATTACTCCAAAAGGTTGTCTGTTTTCCTAATTCTCAACATGGTAAACATCAATATCTAAATTAAAAGAATGATAGATAACAGCAATTGTTTTATTTTCCTAACAAGTCTGTTTGCTACATCTGGCAAATATATTATTTTCCTTCTCAATTTTTTTTGGTTTTTGTTTTTTTTTTTTTTAGAAACGGATGCTGAAAACAACTTTAGATATCCCATTTCATTCATGTTAAAAAAGGAATGACAGCCTTCTCCCAGTAATTCTGGGCACTCCAATCTTAAGTAAAAAATAACACTGCCATTTCATTAAAAAAGAAAGGAAAAGACCGAGTCCCTCAAGCATTTTCTCCTTCACCCCATTTTCTAATAGCACAAGTTAAACAACTCAAATGATTTATTGTCCAAGTTTTACACAAGCAGAATAGAATAGAAAAACTCAAATGAAGTACACAATCACTGTTCTTCCCTATCCCTCCTCCTATTCATCAAAAGGCTTCACACCTGTGAGCGCACACTTTCTGTAAGTACCATCTTCTGCACACATTCTATAAATCAAGTCTCTTGGAAAAACATTTGTTGTGTGCAAGACTCCTAATGACAGCCAGACTAATATTAATTGGTTACCTCCTCTGGTACCCTAAGAGAAATATCTACAAACTCTGTATTTACAGTCTTTCCTGTAAAACATATCTGACCTGGAATAAAGCCATTTTCTCCCATTCCTTATCATGATGTCGTCTTGGACTCGTATTTACACCACTGGGAAGATGTTATTTATCAAGAGCTATACTGAAATGAATTACAACTGCTCAGAATTTCCTCATTTGTCAGGAATTGCAGGAGATTCGTGCCTGAAGTGTTAATACAATGCACTGACTTACTTAGAGAAGAGCTGAGCAAGCTTTTCTCTTTTAAATTTTTCATATTCTGAGGAGCCAAGTCATTTTTTCCCTAATTTTTCAGTACAAGCTCCAGTTTCTCAGCAAGAAAGCTACTAAAAATGCTGCTTCTTGAAAATCTCACCACCTGAAATGGTATTCCAGAAAGCAATACACATGGTCATAAACTAGCAAAGTAATTCTGCATCTATGCTCCAGCTTCAAATTAAGAAGAATTGCAGAGCTGGGCAGTGCCTGCGTGCTGAGAAGACTGACTCAAGCATGCCAAGAGGGTGAAGAGCTGGCCTTCACCCTGCTTATCCAGTCCAGATATATAATGCAAGGTGGCAGATAGCTCCCATTTTTTTTCTGTGACACTTAAAGACTTCCAAGCAAAAATAGCTTCCAGTATTTGCTGAACACATTTCACACTGGCTTTGTCAGTTACTTAAAATGAAAAATTACCACAATGAGATGAGTTGCCACAGAAAAAGAAAAAAAAGAACACACACAAAAAAAACTGTTTCCTATCAAGGCCAGCTAAATAATTTGGCATTTCATTTGTATCAGCAACAGACAGACAAGAAGAGCTTGTCCCGAGCTTTTGGGAAGTGAACAAAAACAGAATTTTTCTTCTAATGGACAATAGAGCTTTCTTTTCTTGCTGCCCTACTTACTTTCTTTGCCAGGAAGGAAGATGCCTTTTCACAGCTCAACATTTTCACAATATAACAAAAAGATGCAGTAACCCCGTGCAACTAAGAGACTGCTTTAAGTTGTGCTATGAAGAACGGAGCGCTTTTCCCAACAAATCCCATAACAATCTCTCTCTCTCTCTCCATCCAAACACCCCCAAGAACACACTAACGACATTTTCTCTCAGGGAAAAATGCTTCACTGTTCTAGTCTTCAACATATGGACATTAATTCCCTAAACGGAGCTTTTTTAAGCCTGCATTCTGAAAAGATGACACAAATCTGTCTCCTCCTGATAAATACCAAACTAGAGTTTCTGAGTTTTCTGTGCAACATTTTGAAAGCAACTAATAAGCTATAATAGATGGCCCAGAATTGGTCATGTATTGTAGACCAACCAACTCTGGCATCAGATGGAATTAGACTGAGCCACATGGACTGGTTTCAACAGTTTGCCATGTAGCAGTGCAGAGCTCAACAAGTCCAGCAAGAACATAGTAACTAAGTGAACACCATCAAAAAACAGTAGAAATGCTTTGTAGTTATTCTGTTACTCTTAACACTTGGATATTCTGACACTTGGGTAGGTGTTACAAAGTACCTCTCTCTTACCATTAAACAGAAGGAGAAAAGATAGGAAACAAAAGCAAGCCACGCTTAGGAGAAATAGCTATACAGAACAAGCAAAGAGAAATTTGATAAGAAATTCAATCCTAAACCATGCATATAGCCAAATGAGAAGACAGATTTTAAATGGCAGGCTTATATCGATCAATTCCAGTAGTAGGAATAGGTGTTTGGCTGCATAATGGAAACAAGTTAAATGTGAAAGAGCGACCATAATCTAAAACTAGAGATCCACCACTATTCAATTTCCTATTGCCTTCTCACCCAAAAGCCCTCACACATTCTCCATAGAAGTGGAAGCAAAACAAACTACCCTTGGGCTTCCTCCCCAGAACGAAAACAGAGACGAAGATCAACATAATCCATTACTGTCTGGATTGAAGAGGACGGCTAGTAGAATTTCATTTGCCCATCTAATTCAGATTATACCTGTAGTCCTATGTAACCTAACAGTGAACACAGCCAAGAAACAAGAAGCGAACAAGAGAAGCAGGAAATACATGAGACAGCCTTGCAGAAGTGCTCAAGATGCAGCGGGTTCATTCATGATTTAAATGTTTATAAAAGATTCAAGTAAAGGTGAGAAGTCAAAGCATATTAATTTAAATGCATTCAATTCCCCCACAAATTTTCCAGTGCAGGACTAAGTTGGCCTCTGCTCACTGTAAACCAAGGAAATTAAACCACAGCTAACTGAAGTAAATTTATTCCTAAAGACACCACCAGCCAATGGCAATTTTATGCATTATAGCTTATGAATGTTGATGCTGTACACTTTGGTAATTTGTATAATTTGCTTAAGTGCCTTGATCCAGATTTAGCCTTAAGGAACACTCACACATCGCCATAATAGATGGCATCATTCTCTGTATTGATGAGAAAAGGCTCTTTCTGAATGGCAGAACTATCAAGCAATTGTACTAATAGGAAAAACATGAGTGTTGAAGGCAAGTTCCCACTGATTCATAGTCACTGCACATACACATTCAGGTGACAACAGTTCTGTCCTGTAAAGACCTGAGGTGTTTAACTAGAAATGGAAAATAATTGGGAGATTTTAACCATTTTGAACAAAGCCTGCACTGGGGAGAGTGGAAGCTACAAACAAAAGGCTGGAGAAACTTCAAGAAGATCCCTGAAGGGCTCTGACTGCCTGAGACTCAGTGGGAATACAGAAGGTTGAGTTTCAGACACCGGGGAGTTATTTCCCCACCGACAAAGCCACGCACAGCTATTGTCTCTAAACAAGATGAGAATCCAGGAGAACTCGTGTGCAGAGAAGAGCGGAGAGCTCAAGTACGAGCTGTTAAGTACCGCAGATCAGCAGCAGGTTGGAGGCTACGACAGCTGACCACAGGCTACAGCAGTTAGGAATCTTTTATGAAACAGAATGGCTGGGAATGCTGCCGGAAAGCACAGCAGATCAGAGGTCAGCCCCTCCTACAGCAGCACAAGTTTGGACAAGGTTTTATCAACATTGAGGTAAGTATCGAACTCGAAACCAAACCCAGATTTCAATATGCATGTACCTTCTTGTGTAGAGAAATGCTAAATTTTCTTATCTCAGAGTGAAAAAAAACCAACAGAAAACAAAGAATTAAGAAACAAAACACAACTTAGAGTCATACTTAGATTTATATAAAGTAAAACAATAACAGAGCACTGCTAGAGTGAATGGGCTGTAAATAAATAAGGACAGAATACATCTTTTTCCTTCCATTAAGATTATGTTCCAAAGCACAAGAACTTTAATGACTGAGAGCTCCCCCTCCCTTCCAATAAACCTTTGTGTAAAGAGCAATTTAACTGCAAGCAAAATATTTCTCTCACCACCTTCACACTTTCTACACAATCTTATTCTACTCTTTACCCTTGAGAACATCTGCCCACACCATCAGCTTTTCATCTTATGGACAGAATTAATTAAGCATCCTTCTGGGGAATGTGGTAGAAGTGAAAAATGTTGAATTCTACTCGAGCCAGAGATCATATTTTGATTTAAACAAAACAAAACCAACAAGAATCAGAACATATTTCTCAGAGCTGTGAAAATTACTATGCCACACAAAGTATCAACATATCCCTACGCATTTTAATATAGTTTTAGTGTGACTTCTCTAAAGCAGATCTTCACTGAATTCCTTTAAGTTTGCCAAATATTAAATGTCAGTTTTATCAATCATTTCCATTCCCTTCACAATAGCATTAGAAAGTTCCACTACTTCCTTAAAGGTATGATTTTTATTCATAACCAAGAACTGCTACAACTATTAGTATATTAGCAACCGCTGTTAATGTTTAATCGTTCTTCAACTTCACCTGGAGGATTTGAGCTGATTATTACTTTTTGTATTACCTTCATCATAACTTCACATAAAGGAGTGATAATACTGGAAAATATTTTCTATATATTGTAGAATTTCACCTATATCTCCTGCATACAGATTGTTACTGTACTCACTGTTTAAAATATGTATGTGCCATTAGATGCTTCTAAGAGGATTAGAATTCACACTATTTGATAATGTAACTTAACTATAGGCAACTTTCCAGTGAAGAAAATTAAAGGACATAAAGAATCTTGCTGAGAATTGCTAGAGGACTGAATATAGGAAATACACTGATATAACATTCCTGCTGTACGCATTACAGTAATATTTATACGAAAGCTACCCTTAT